TAGGGTCAAATTGCACATTGTGGAAGAAAGGGTTAATCAACCTGAAGGTATGAAAGTGGAAACTCTCCAAAATAAAAGCACACAGAGAAAAAATAATTTAAAAAATGAGGAACAGTGAGCTGTACAACAACTTAAAAGTAGTCTAATGTATGTAATTAGAATCCCAGAAAGGAGGGGACAGAATAAAACATTGATACCAGGTTAAAAAAAAATCAGGTTTGATAAAAATTCTAAAATCACGTATCCAAGAAACTCAATACATCCTAGGAACAAAAACAAGAAAAAAACCACCCCAATGCACATCATAATCGAATTTTTCAGAAACACTGGCAAAGAGGTAAAAAAGTCATGTTACATACAAAGCAAATAAAAAGAAGACAAGCAAGAAAACAGTGAAATAGCATCTTTAAGTCGGACACAACTGAGCAACTGAATTGAAAGTCTTATAAATAAAAAACAGTCAATCTCAAATTGCATATGTAGCAAAAAAAAGTTTTCAAAAACAGAGAGAAAATAGTGATTTTTTTTTTAGACAAGAAAAATTCAATTTATCACCAGTAGATCTGCACTGAAAGTAATGTTACCAAGGGGAAAATGATACCAGATGGAAATATGGATCTACACAAAGGAACAAAGAATATAAGAAATCATCACTACACTTGAAAATAAATATTTTTCTTATTACTTCAATTTCTTAAAAAAAACTGACCTGTAAAACATATTTAGAAAGAAAATTAGAAAGTACTTTGAGTAGAATAAAAATTAAACAGTGAAATTTTGTGAGATATCACTAAGCAATACTTAGTGGGGGAATTTATACCACTCAGCTATGGTATTAGAAAAATGAAAGTTTTTATGTCAATGACTTCAGCTTCTACCTTAGAAAACTAGAAAATCAAGATCAAAGTAAAATCAGACAAAGCAGAAGAAAGACAATAATAAAGATAAGAGTGGAATATAGTGAAATAGAAAATAAAAACAATGCAGACAAACATAGGTAATAGTATTTTAAACCTATTTTAATACAGTCATTGTGACATTTCAATTAAGATAGACAAAGATTAATGGAACAGAATAAAGAGAATAGAAAAAATAAACAGAAATATATCCACAAATATATGGATTTTTGACAAAGGCATAAAAGCTGATCAGTAGACAAAGGATAATTTTTTTTCAGAAAATGGTGCTGGAATAATCGGCTTTTTATAGGAAAAAAGAACCTTGAGTCAAACCTTGTACCACAAGCAAAAAGTAATTCAAAATGGATAACACATCTCAATGTAAAAGCTTACTGTAATAAAACTTCTGAAAGAAAACATACCAGAAAATTTTTATGACCTTTGGTTAATAAGACATTTCTTAGATACAACACTGTGAAAGATGTTAGGTACAGTCCGTGAAAGAAAAAAAAAGAGATAAAGATAAAGTAGGTGTTGGTATCTTCAGAAACAATGCTAAGAGAGTGAAAAGACAAGTCCCATATAGGGAGAAAATATTTACATCTTGTATAGCTGATAAAGGACTTGTATCTGTGATATATTAGAAACTCTCAAAACTCAAAGAGTAATTTTTTTTTTTGTAAATAAAGCAAACCAGTTAAAATTGGCGAGCTTCCCTGGCGGCTCAGTGGTAAAGAATCCACCTGCCAAGGCAGGAGACAGGGGTTTGATCCCTGACCCAGGAAGATCTCACATGCTGCAGAGAAATTTAGCCTGTGCGCCGTAACTACTGAACCGGTGCCCTAGAGCCCGGAAACCACAACTGAGCTCCGTGCCACAGCTGCTGAAGCCAGCACACTTCAGAGCCCACGCTCTGCAACAAGAGGAGCCCCCCACAATGAGAAGCCTGCGAAATGCACCTGGAGTTGTGCTTGGCACAACTAGAGAAAAGCCTGTTTGGCAATCAAGACCCAGCATGGCTATAAATAAATAAATAAATTTTTAAAAAGAAAAAATAATAAAATTGGCAAAAAATTTGAACAGATACTTCATCGAAGAAGATATATAAATGTTAAATAAGCAGATGGAAAGCATACATTAGGGAAATGGACACTAGAACCACAATGAGATCACTATAACACTCAGCATAGAGACAGTTAAAAAGACTGACCATGGCAGGTGTTGGCTAGAGAAATAGGAACTCAGATATTTCTGGTGGGAATGCAAAACAATAGAATGCCTTTGGAGTATTTGTCAGTTTCCTAAAACTTTAACCATATACCTTTCCTATGATCCTACCATTTCACTCCTACATATTAATGTAGGAGAAAAGAAAGCCAGAGAAAGAAGCCATGCATACTATATGATTCAATTTATGCAGAGGTCTAGAAAATGCTGTTATCTTAGTGACGGAAAGTAGATTAGTAGCTGCTTGGATACCGTGATCTCAACAGAAATCTCTATAGAGCTTATTTCTCAAACTTAGTGTGGAAAACCTTGTTCACCAGACTTAACTAGAGGGGTTATTTTAAAATTCAACTTTAAATTCAATGCTACTTATGCAGAGGATGGTTAGAAAAAGAGCTGAAATCAAGCAGTGCAGAGTAAGCACAATTTCAAAAAACAAGTTTGTTTGTTTTATTCAAGTTGTGCTTGTTGCGTAATGAACATGTGGTAAGCTGAGTGATGGCCTGATGTAAGAGTACAGTGCAAAAGAAATAAGAAAAGTGATACAAATTCCTTGAGCCTCATATTTTTCATATAGAACTGGAGATAATAAAACTTCAGAATTTTTAAAGGAATAAATATTGTGTATAACAGCATATACTATTCTGCAGCTTCCATTTGTAGAAAGTGCTCTGGCAGGATATTTATTTTATTTTTTATCTATTTTAAATTCTTATTTTGTGGTTTTAAATGATTTATCTTCATATAGTTTAACCTTATGTCATTTTACTTGTGTTGTTCATTTCTATTTTATCAATAATTTGTCTTTAAATTTTATCTTTAAATATATTTACATGTGTCAGTTGGCTATCCTTTACCAGAGATATGCTAGATTTTTGTATGTATGTTTAGCAAATACTAATTTTTTTTTTATTCAATGGTACAAAAAAAATTTAAAAAGCAGGGCCTTAGAACTTAAAGGTGACAGTCTTTAAAACAACCTCAAGTTCATCTCTACTGTGTATGATGACCATGTTCAAAGTCAAACTCTGGAATACTCAGCTCATTATCAAAAGCAAACCCTGAAGGGAGTGAAATGAATGAATCCATGTACTCTTTGTTCCATGCAATCAACCTGTGATCTTCCAGAAGGTTATTAACAATATGCTGTCTGGTTAGAACAGCCATTTATCTTGATATTAGTTTAGTATATTCCACCAGCGCCACTTTACAAAGCGCCACCTCCTTTGAATCATTTCGGTTAAGTCATGGCAATGGTCTGTCCAGCTGAAATCAAAGTCCAAAGATGTCTATCCAAGTACTGAGTTGGTAGGACATTTTATTTCTTGGCAAAGGCTCTTAAGTTCTGGGCATAAATCTCGCCACTATCTAAACTAGAAAGCATTCTGGAAAACCTATGCTATATAGCAATTCCTCTGTCAGTTGTACCGTTAGAACTTAACACCTCACTTCCTTACCTCAATTGCTGCTCAAAGAACCAAAGCTTTTCAGCTACCTCAGATCTCTCCAGGTCCTTTAGTAGTACTCTAGTACTGAGCCTCTGAAGCAAGAGATATCTTTGTTTTGGTTTTCCTCAGTTTTACAGTCTTTTGATTGCTAAGTTTCAACACACGGTATAATTTATCAAGCTATGTCAAGTTGGTTTCTCAGCAGTGTGGATTCTGATCCCTAGCTGCTCTTATCTCTGGTCCAAGATAAGGATGACATTTGTTGAGATCTGAGTAGATCAAACAGATCTCTTTATCATTCTCAGCAAACAAATCGTTTTCTTCTCCTTTGTCATGAAATGGACACTTAGGTTTCTTCAAGTCTTGGTTAAAGGCATCTCTTTGGCTCCTTCTAAGTCAGCCTAAGCCTAGGAATAATTAACTGAAGTGTTTGTGTTGCTGTAGTACTGTTAATTCTTCTCTAAGTCCATGGTACATTGTGGGTTACTGGTTTGTCTTTTTGCCCTTTGAAAACAGTAGTTGTCTCATTCCTCTTTTGAATCCTCACAACTTAGCACAGTTCAGGGTTTATATTATATACTCAGTTGATGTTTAATTATTGCTTCACTGTGTAATGATTATTTATGTATCATAATAGTTTTAAAAATTCAAAAAACACTAAATTCATTCAATTTCCTTTAATGAGTATTTGTTATATATATAAAAAAAGAGGTATAAAGTCCTGTTCCCAAGTCCAAATCTCTTATTAACGTAAACCTTGAGTTTTTTTGAATTACCCATTTGAAATAATTGTCTTTATACCTGAAAAATGGATTTATTGAAATGTTTGAGATTAAAAAATATGTATTGCAAGAAGCATAAGACAAACATTTCAAGAGTACAAAATTAGTTGCAGAAATAATATAATTTGCCAGTAAACCCACATTTTATTAGAAATGTGCAAAGCTTTTTGATGTAAAAGTTTTGGTTTTGTCATTTTTTAATACTGAGCACCCATTTTTATTTATCCATTTCCCATGGAGAGGTAACTCCTTGCATGCATTTTATGTCTCCATATGTAAATTCAAGGTTCAATCTTCTCAATGGGATAAAAGGTCACAACTCGGAGATTTGAATTGTATTGAATCCAGTGACAAGGATTTTCTCTCATGGATTCCAAAGTCAGCTGGAACTCTTCATATCAAGATGTAAAAGTCTGTAAGGTGTTATATTTCCCTTAGATTCTATCCCACAGGAGGCTAAACCCACAATCGCCCTCATGTTTCTCATTCAGAAAAAAAAAAAAGTTATTGCATTCAGAATTGTTCAACAATTGCTCTTTTGTCTTGGCTCATTTCTTCACATCAAAGTGGCTTTCATATTTTTCCTTTAAGACCAGGTTGTTGGTTTAGGGTTGTATAAACTTTGTTGTCTGGTGTCCGGATTTTCACTGAGGACGATCTTCCCTTGATCGTCTTCTGGATCCTGATTAGGAAGAAGGCAGAGAATATAGATTGTGAATGGGATGAAATTATAGTGTTTAAGAATATGATATTTAACTCATGTGTATGGCTGCATGCTCAGAGGCTTCAGTCATGTCTGACTCTTTGCGACCCCGTGGACTGTAGCCCGCCAGGCTCCTCTGTCTATGGGATTCTCCAGACAAACACTGGAGTGGGTTGTCATGCCCTCCTTCCAGGGATCTTTTTGCCCCAGGGATCGAACCTGCATCTCCTCGTTGCAGGCAGATTCTTTATAACTGAGCCATCAGCAAAGCCCCATCTTATGCATAATTATATCTTTAAAATACTATTATTTGTTATTATAATAAATGCTAAATTATGTTTTCTTAATAATATTCTGTTTATGACAAAACCAAATCATCTTTTGATCAAAGGTATATGAACATAATAAAGTTATGCTTTATTTCTTTAGAAAATTTGGATGATTTTGCATGTTTAAAAGAAATCCAAGATAAATGGAAAAAAAAAAAAGAAATCCAAGGTAAAGTTTTCAGTTAAAAATTATTTGTACAATTGAGTCGTTAGTTTCAAATGTCTATATTGGACTAGGTTAAAATCAGATATGCCTATAATGCATTTATAAGCCTTGCAACTTCTTTTGACTATTAGTATGTAATTCTAAGTTCCACAAAGGAAATCTTTGATATTTGATTGTACCAGAATATAAGGTATCCTAAGTGGAAGATGATAACATGCACATAAATGAAGTTATAAAGAAAGTTATAATGCATAGGTGATATATACATGTATATAACCTACACATTATATCAACATTTTGTATATAGATATAGTAATCATTTCCTATAAGTGTACAGTACATATAGCTTTGAATTTATTTTTGTCTCAAACTGTAGCTTCATCTTAAATAATAGTTTCATAGAGTTCAGGTGTCCCTGCAACTTATTTTTACTCAACTTTGGTATTCAAGGATTTCTTTTCAAACTAACTCTACTTTAGTCTACCACAGTGGTTCAATATATTTAACAGTTTACATAAGTATAATTTTCTTTCCTTTAATGTTTGCTTTTCTTACATTTTATTAACAGTGAGCGATATGAAAGATTTATTTTCTGATTCATATCATCAAAATACTTTGCTCAAAATAAAGTGTATTAAAATACTCTCCTTTGGGTGGGATGTTTCAAGAGAACAGCATCGAAACATGTATATTATCTAGGGTGAAACAGATCACCAGCCCAGGTTGGATGCATGAGACAAGTGCTCGGGCCTGGTGCACTGGGAAGACCCAGAGGGATCGGGTGGAGAGGGAGGTGGGAGGGGGGACCGGGATGGGGAATACATGTAAATCCATGGCTGATTCATGTCAATGTATGACAAAACCCACTACAATATTGTAAAGTAATTAGCCTCCAACTAATAAAAAAAAAATAAAAAAATAAAAATAAAAAATAAAATACTCTCCTTTGTTTTGTCTTAATGTAACAGGTGTGCCACTTATGCAAATTACCATAATCAATATATTTACCTTGAACTCTTTTGTTGGCTTGTATCTTTCTCACAGGTGTGTCTGAAATTAAACAGTTGTAGTTAAAAATACTTTGAAATTATGGCTAACATGAGACAGGAAAACACAGTTTAGCAGAAAAATGTAAAGTTTTAAATAAACATCACTTAAACATGTAGACTTCTCCTGGAGTAGTGAGACTTTGGCATTGGCAACAGACATTTGTTTTCCTTATATCATAATGAATGTTTACTATTTTCGCAAAACATGTTGTTTTATTATGGTATGTGGAGCCCTGGATGGTGTTCCATTTTTGCATGGAATAAGTGACTTACATGACTTTTTCATCCTTTTTATAAAAAGCATCACTTTATGATGAAAGGATGTCTACTCTCCTATGAAGTTTAGCAGAAATATATTCCAGAGATAAGCACTCATTTTTCTTCTAGTCATTCATCTTTGTGATATATCAGACTTCTGCCTCTATAAAATTCCCACTGTAACTTAATTTTCATTAACTTTTAATATGTGAAATATGCCAATAAGCAATTCAAGCAGTGTGTACCAATTCAATTCCTGAAATGAGTTCCAATCCAAGACCATTTAAAAATTAAATAGTTAAAAATAATGAGTTCATATTTTAGAATTTCAAGTGTTCATAATAATGCAGTGCTTTGTTGTTACAGTTGCAAAATACTTCCCAGTTCTTTATTTTTTCTTTTAACTTATTGACAAGACTACTTGGTCAACTGAAATTCACATTTTCATTCTGTTGTTCGATATTTGAGATCAAGGAATAAATATGGTCCCTATAGCGACTTAGCTTCTCTGCTTACCTTCTTTATTTTTTCTCCAAAGTTTGACTTCTTGATTTTTATATATTATCTGTACTCAACAGTGAAGTAAACACTTTTCTATGATATACAAATATATTTTTTTCAATTCTCTGAAATCTCATAAAAGTAAGACATGAAACTATCACCAACAGCATTTTTGGCTATATAATGTCAAGAATTAAAAAAAAAGAAAGAAATATTAAGCGTTCTGCCTACATAGCACATTTCCAGCATGTCTTTTTATTCTGCCTGGATATAAGTTATGTAACCATTTACCATATGCATTAATACTATAATAAAATGCAGAACTATGGAAAACCTCCTCAGATTGGATAGTGGGGGAGAGTTTAGGTGAGATAGAAAAGTCTGAATTACAGAGTACGCTCCAACTGATGTATTTCCCTTAACTTCAGGTTTATTTGGTCACAAAAAAAGGCTTATAGCATATTGTCAAGAAAAGATGGAAATCATTGTATGAAATGGACTTATTAAATTCCAAAGAGCACTTATCATGCAACTTAAAACAAGATTTCAACATTTCTTTTGAAAACAAGCTCTTACACTCAATTTTCTTTTCTAAATTTGGCAGCATCTGATTAATGCACATCTAATTAACTAACTTGTTAATTTATTCCTATTTGGCTATGACAAAATCAAAATAAGAAATAGTCACTGTGGCAAACAAATATTTCTTGAAGAAAAGCTTAATTAAAATGCAGAAAATCAGATTTTCTCTCAGTGGCTCTCTACCACTTCAAACTGAATGACACTTGTATGTCCTGTTTAGAGAAGCAAAAGTGTTAACGTAAACCAATCATTGGAATGATCCCACGAAAATACCCATCCCCACCATGTTTCCTTAAACATGCAAAGTGTTTCCACTCAATTATCTGTAAGATTGTTGTATTTTTATATAACTATGACTTTGTAAATTTAACATAGAGCATAAAATATTACTTTGTTGACCATATTAGTGTGAATTGACCATAATCCTGATAGTAGCTAACATCACTGAGAACATTATTATTATGCAGTGAACATTATTCCAAGTGCTATTCATATATTGGTTCATTTATATGTAGGTAACATTACCATCCCCACTTCCCAGATTAAGAAAACAAGGCAGAAACACATCAGTTTACTTAAGTTCAAGTGGGAGCCCAGATTGGAAGCCAGACCTAGGACCTGATCCTCTGTTCCATACAGAGGCCATAAATCTTTAAATGTTGTACTGGCAGATTTATCAAAACCTCAAACAGCTTTTTGTTGTTGTTCCTTTCTCCAAAGCCTACTTTTCTGCAATTTTCCCTTAATTACTTCAGTAGTTTCAGTAAATGTAGTTCTATCTAAGATAAGAGTGAACAACTGTACACATTTTTGAGAAGAATTTTTAGTTAAGGGGTCGGGAGTGTTTCAATAACAAATCATAATATTAGTATCCAATTGACCATCTAGCCAAGTTTATAAGTATGACCTAAATGATTGAGGAATACATTCAATTCATCAAAATGTACTGTATATACCACAAAATGAGCAGTTCAGATAGAAAACTACAAGCTTTGAGATGAAGATCATAGTTTAGCTGTAGATCAATTATCAATACTCTGAAAGAAAAAAAAAAGCCTGTCTTGCATGACATAATCTTTATTCACACCAGCTTCACTGGTGTTTCTTGGGATCTAGACAAGAGGACACTTGTTACTCAGTGTTGACCCAATGGTTTTACAGGGCTGGAAAAAAGAAAACTAGAATGTCCAGTTAATGTCCAGGTGTTAGTAGCTATACCATTTATATTGTCTTCCTTATGAGAAAAGAATCCTTGGAAATGTTTTGATAAAAATTTATGCTGTGGCAAGGACCTACTGTATAGCACATGGAACTCTGCTCAATGTTATGTGGCAGCCTGGATGGGAGGGAAGTTTGGGGGAGAATGGATACTTGTATATGCATGGCTCAATCATGTATATTTATGGCACAGCTCTGCTGTGTACGCATCTGTAACTATCACAACTTTGTTAACTGGCTATTCTCCAATATAAAATATAACATCTTTTTAAAAACCTATTAAAAAATTTATGTTGTGACATTGACAAAATGAATGCTTTATAAGTATGTAGAGAAAACACACACTGGAAGGTAAAGGAATCAACCTCTGGGATGAACAGAAACCAGAATTAATGAAGGATTCTATTTCAATTGATTAAAATTAGAATATCTTATTCTTGTAACAGGTATTATCTTCTTTTGGCCGAAGTTATTCTTCAAAACTCAGTTCGTTGTTTATAATGGACTTGATAACAGGGGCGTATTGAAGGGGAGGAAAACATACTTACCTGAAGTTTAAGTCTAAATAAATTAAAACAATATATACAAGTGCAACTACTAGTCGGTTCATTCTCTAAAAAGCACTGCTATTCTACAAAGCTGCTTACTATGGCAAGGACTGAAAAAAAAAGAATTCAACTTACTTTTCACAATGTCTGCATTTCTTCACTCAAATCCCTACCTTTTTCTAGTAGAGTGTTAAGCATTTAGATGTAGACAAGTAAATTTTGTATTACAGCTTATAGGAAACTGGTTCTACTGTAGCTTTGGGAGTGTCATGTACTCCCAGCAGTCTGAAAGGAAGTCTTGTATTTTTCAGACACATATTTTTCTATCGAGGGGAAATTCAATCACTGGTTCAAAAAAATTATTTATTTTTACTATTGCTGAACAGTATCAATAATATGTAAGAGATTCTGCCTATGTAAAAATAAAGAATAAGAAAACAGTAATTGCTAAAAATATATACAGTCCCAAAAGAAATTATAACTTTTTGGACATAGTACTATAATTTTTAAAATTTTAAGCATAAAAGGTAATGGGAAACATACTTTGCATAAACACTAAACTTAAGTTGTGTTTCTTAATTCACAGTATATTTCAAAGAACATATTTGGTTTTTCTAAAAAATTTAAATTCTTGTTTCTCTAAAACAATTTCTTAAGTACTATTTTTGTTAATAAAATAAATTAGAAATTAGTAAAACTTCTTTGAGTAATTGCCATTGAGAGTTTGTGTAAGATTTTGAATTCTTTTTCTTCTTTCCTTTTAAAAGTAGGTCCTTTTAATGCCATAGACAGAGAACATTCCATATTTTAAAGATTAAAATTAATTTCATATGCAAAATAATTTACAGCTGCAGGTATAGATTATCACTTGAACTGTTAGAAGAAACAGATAACCCATTCCTGGGAATGTAGTTTTGGAAAATAAAATTGCTAAATGCAATTTTTTTTGCTAGTTCTATGCACTTAAAAAAATTCATAAACATGCCTTTCATTATGGTAGTGGGGGCAGTGAATACATTTTTTTAAATATAAAAATTATTTCAATTTGGGCTTCTTTTAATAATTACCAATTTTATTTTTTTATGATTAAAATATTCTTTAGTCTTTATTTCTCATTGTCCCTGGCAAGTTAAGGATATCCACATTTTTGGCAGTCCTTCCATCAAGACACTGGACCTATGTGTTATACAAATTAGATACATTATGAGATATAAATATACTTCCAGTAAACTGAGTTAATAAAATGAAAAAGGGCAGTTGGTTAGTATTATTATTTTTTTTTCCATTTATTTTTATTAGTTGGAGGCTAATTACTTTACAACATTGCAGTGGTTTTTGTCATACATTGAAATGAATTAGCCATGGATTTACATGTATAATAATTACCAATTTTAAAAGCATCCCTTTTTCACACATTAAGAATATCCTTACAGTTGTCTGTATCAGAGCAAAAAAATATTCATTGCTCCCCACTGAACTTTTTAAAGACTGTTTAAACTAGTAATTCTTTCTTTATACCTCTTACTTTAACCACCATTGACCCGATCAATCTGTTAAGACAGACATGATGCTGTTTTTTAACCTAATTAAAAAACAAACAAACCTGAATGATCAGTCTTTAAAAAGCTGAAGAACTCAGTTATCAGAACCTGTTAAGTGGGTTAGTTGTTTCCCTTTTACTAACCTCCCTGAAGCAGTCTTTTAATTTCTTCATCTTCAAATAAATGACCATCACCACCTTCAATGAATTTGGTAACCTTGGTGACCTCTGAGAGGATACATGTTTATAGCAGAAATTGGTTTATGTAATAAAAAGGCTGGAGATTCGATGCGATACATAATGGCATCTGCCAAACAATAAATTCCAGACCAACACTTGGTTCTTTCTTGGTTTTTAGTGCTATTTTTTGATAAGCCAATTTTCTTGCAAAGTTGTTGAACAGTATATAACAAATATAGACCAAAACCATCAATATGACTATCATCTGAGTTTCATTCCCTTTCTTTGGATTTTTTTTCTTGTGTTGGTATGGAACTAGAACAAAGGAGTGAGATAGAGTAGAAAATGTAAAAGGTCTCAAAGATTATTTTAGAATTTGATATAAATAGATAGCTTAGGAAAAGTGACATTCTATTTTTCTAGACATACTGACCTTCTTGCAACAATTTCTTCAGAGTTTCTTCTGTTTCTCCACCTGTAGTTGAAATCCTAGTGTATTTTATTTCAGGACCTAAAGGAAAGATAGTTTACAGAAAGACCTGAAACAAGGGTAGGCACACTTCCTCTGTAAGGGTTAGATAGTGAGTAATTTAGACTTTATGGGTCATATGGTTGGTGTTACAACTATTCAACTTTGCCCTTGTAGTGTGAAAATAGCCATAGACATTGTATAAATGAATGGTCACATCATGTTCCAATAAAACTTTATTTACACAAGTATTAAAAGATGGCATGGGCCATAGTTGCTGACTGCTTGTTTAGACAAATACTTGTAAAATGGCTGAATTCAGAATTTTATGCTAATTCATTGGTGGGAGACTGATACAGAGGTTTACTGAAATCATTTATAAATTGTTTTATACTAACTTGCATATATTTTGGTGTGTAGACCTTAAGATTAATGGAAAATTCAAAGAAGAGAATGGTTTTTCTTTTAGGATTTAGTAACTCATTAATAAATAGCAAAGTGAAGATAATGTATTATATAATACATATGTGTATTCATAATAAAAATGCATGCTTATAGATTTGCTCCCAAATTTCCAATTCAGGAGAAAACATAGATTATATATTTACAGTTGGTATTATTTCTACCAAAAAAGAAACGAACAACTTCAGTAACCACCATGAAAATGACTTAAGCCTCTTTGATGATTCTTATAGAGATGTTTTAGGATTAAATGTGATTTGCTTTTTGTAATCCAGGCATAGTAGCCTGGAGCATCCCATGGAGAGAAGAGCCTGGCAGGCTGCAGTCCATAGCGTTGCGCTGAGTGCACACACAGAGTTTATAGTATTGAATTAAAGACTACCTGTAATGATCCGTTCTTCCCTTGTCTCTTTTTCGGTTATTTCCACAGGCACTCCATCAATGATCTTGGTGTATTTTTTAATAATTGGCTCTAAATTGCGGGAAAAAATGCATTTGATTTATCCTCATATGGTGTCTAAATGGGCATAAGCTAGACGTTTTAATGATTAAACATATTTCTCACAGTAATACCATTGAGAAATCAATGATAATCATTTGGAGAACGTATCTCAAATAAATTCAGATAATAGAGGTCTAAAAGCTAGTAGTCATGCCCTGAATCTTGGGTAAAGGAGAGAGCCAACTGTCAAGCTAACACTCCATGTCAGACTTGTCTCCTGACTGTGGAATGAGCATTTAGGGAGAATCCAAGGAATTACACATCATTAGAATGGGAAACTTATAATAAGTCCTAGCTGTGGCTTATTAGTCTTACAGAATGTTCATTCTTTCTTCTAAGACCAACATGTTATCTGGTATTGATGTGATTGTTTTCATTATATTCATAATCATCCTTGCATATGCAAAGTAAGGACAGTTTTGTTGGACCTGGTGATTTAATGGTAAAATCGAGTCCAACTAGATCCATTAAAAGGTAAACTATATTTTAATTGATTGGCTAATAAGAATCCATAACTAATAAAAGCTTTCCACCAATGTGTATAAAAGTCAAGAGGAAACATCAGGTATTCAATATATTTAAACCAGCACAATTTCAAAATGTTCAAGTGATCCTAAGTAGGCTACAGGAAATAGAACGCACCTCCATGGATCACTTCAGTTACCGTTTCACCTTCTTTAATCAGTCTGAATTCAGGTTCACCTTCAATTTTGACCTTTGGTATTGTGAGTCCTGAGGCATCGTTTTAGGAGACAAATTATCATGTTAATGCAGTCCTTTAAATTTACCAGAACAGGAAATTTATTTCAACATCGATGTTGCTCAAATGTCAAAGTGCTTTCAGGTTTTATGAAATCGGTTTTAAACAGTTCCCATTGTCTTCAGATTGAGTAGTATTTAGGAGAACAAATGACTCCTAGGTCTATTAGTGTGCTACTCAAATGAATTTCATCAGCTTTAGCATTTAAACTAATGTTTAATTGATCCATCTATTCATAGTTATAAATTCTGATCATACAAAATGTTATATATGAGTACACTTTGTGAATCACACAGTATGTACAAATTTCAGTTGCTCTAATGATAGCTAGTGTAGATCTTACTTTACATACTAATATGTCTATTACTCACTTTTCTTATTACATTTTAAATTTAATTTTAAACTACTCAGTATCTTATATTTTTTATCTAATGGGCATAACTGAACATCAGAAAAGCCCAACTTTAGGCCTACCTTTAAGATGCAAATTTCAGGTTTTATGGGAAAATGGGAGTACTTACCTTCTCTGTGTGAATGCTGGAAATATTTACTAATTAATAGTTAAACAGTCCTTCAAATGTAAAAGTTGTGTTACATTTGACTTGCAAAATGATTTTGCTCCAAGAGAAAATCATTTTCAATGTTAGAAAGCTGAGTTACTACATTACTACATAGTAATTAGATGAGAAGTTCAGTACATTTAACTCATAGAGTAACACTCTTTAACAGTTGAATGGAACTATATTTCCTTATCTTTGAGAAGGTTTATTTGTTTGTCCAGAAATTGTCAATGTACACCATTACCCAGAATTAAATAGTCTAGGAAGATCTAAAATAATGAAACAAGAGTACAGCTGTTTCAAACAATAAGTATTTCACACCGTAATATTTGATCTATGGGGTCAACGGACATTGAGAATCAAAACATAAGGCCAAGTTTTTAAGGTGTGGAAAGTTCAAAGGGAAAGAATAGCTCAGGAGTTTAAGAGCAGGAAGTGACTTAATAAAATAACCAAGTAGACATTTTTTTAGAAGAGCCTCAACTAGCATTTGAGAAACATCCTCCACCCTTATTTCTATGAAAGCAGGAATTTACTACCAAATTTTTTTTTTTTTCATATTTACTCTGGCGGGCACCTAGGAAAATACCCAGCACAGGAGGGGTACAATAAGTATTTATTGAATTGAATTTCAGTTGATTTATTCCTAATTCTAAAATTTGGTTAAGTACCTTTTGTAAGAAACATCCTAAATTGGAGTCTAATATATGTAGTAAGAATTCAAGAGTTACCAATGAATCAGCAAAAGTTTAAACAGTGAGAAGGAAATGCCAATAGCAATCCTAGGATGACACAATTATAGATGGCTGCCAAGGCAAGTATTAATATTTGTCTCCCTCATTCTGTTATATAAAGTCAAATTTCCAAATTTTTTAACTGAAGAGTTGTTAATGCACAGGTGATATGATCTCATTTTTCATCTTAGTTCCCTTTGTAGGAGGAACCCAAGTAGAGTTGATGCTCCATTGTGTTCCTAATTGAAGAAACAGTAATACAGTAGAATCCTGTTCACAAAGATTGGAAATGTAGTAGATGGGTTGAAAGAAGAAGCTTGAAAGAAAAGAGATGAATCTTGGAAAATAAAAATAGTGCATCTGAATGATTTCTACTGAAAAAGATGTGTGCAAGTGATTGTACACAATTTTAGGGAATCTAATTTTTAAAAAATTGTACAAGAATTTTAAAATTAAGGACCATTTTATTTTCTCATTAAAATGATCAAGAAATATTTTCTAAACAAAAATTTCTGTTATTTAACTTCGTAAAGCACCAAATTCTCTCTCTCTTTAAACAACCTAATTTTATTTATTTTAACTTTATCTTTTTGGCCATGCTACATGGCTTACAGGATCTTAATTCTCCAAACAGGGATGAAGCCTGGGCCACCACAATGAAAACATTGAGTCTTCATCACTGAACACCCAGGGAAGTCCCCAAGCTCTCTTCATCACTATATAAGAGCAATCAAATGCTCAGATGACAATAGGCACAGTATTTTTTTTTCTAAAGCACAGATTTAAAATACCTCAACTTTAAGTTTTAAGAATGTATTAAAATATAGATAACTACTAGGAAATACACTTTAACATACATACTTCCAAGGTCTAAGTTTTAAGTAATGACTCACTTTTAGAGGAGTCACAAGTATTCAGGAAGTTGCCATCTCAATTCATAAAATGAGAAGAAATTTCCAAGTCAGAGATAATTACACTAACAGTTTTCTTAATATTTGACTGATGACATAATCTGTTCACTTTTTTGAAGACTGGTTCTACTCTTCTTTCAGGACAATGAAAAGATAACCTGGTCTTTTTTCTGTGACCAGTCACCACATTAAGATGGCTAGACTTGGACATAAAAATTCTTAAGATCTGACCCTTTGGAAGTTATTAAAACACATGGAATGAAAGGGGCATTGGAAATATTTGAGTTGGCTAACACAGACAGTAGGGGTAGAAAGAAAAGTTACCTGATTTACTATTCTAGTATGATACATCAGGAAATAAGTACACATGCCTATTTAATGTATTATATATGTATACATATAAGAATATATAATACTATATATAATAATATGTAAAGTGTGCACACATATTCAAGGCTGGAATTAAGGATTCTAAGGTTTGATTCATTGTACCAACTACATATTTCCCAGGTTTAATTAAAAAGTATATCATGTGTGGATGTGCAATTTAAAAGTTTTCTTCAATATACAGCTTCTGTGCTCTCTGAGTTTGTTGAATAAAAAAAATGTACGCACTTTTTTGGAACACCTTGCAACAGTATAAAAGAGACTGATATGGGGGAGACTGGAAACACAGCTATAAAGAGTACACTCTGAAAGAGTCCAGGTATAGGGAAGAAAGCTCAGAATTTATTTGTTCAGTGAGTATCTGGGTACTAGTGCTAATGCAATGGCAAATTAAGTTCAAATGAAATCAAATACAAGCAAATGTACTGAAGGTATTAGGAATGCACATCTACTCTTCTAAATAAACTTGCATTCCGCATTCTGCTGTTAAATGAGCATGCCATCGATACGGAAATACTTAGCATGTTAGTTTCAAAAAGAATGTAGGTACATTCATAGAAATCAGTCTATTACATGGATTTTTAAGGAACCATGTATACATTGATTTTTACCTTCTGTTTTGATAATAGGCTGAAGACTGCCTTCAATCACTTTAATTTTTGGTTCCACAACTTTGGTTATGATTTTAGTTGCTGAAAGTATAGAAAGTGGAACATAAATGATGTTTACATAAAAACAACCTGGATGAAAATGTCTTTTTTTTCCCCTTTGGTTTTTGTTGGGTACTGAGGTATCAGATGTGGTAATAAGTTCAGGCAGTCACATACAGGAAATAATTCATAGTAATTATCTAGTATCTTCTCATGTCCAGATGAACTCTGAAGTCCAGTGACTTTGATTTGTTCCAGTGAAATATGTACTTTCTATGTGAGGAGTTCTACCTAGAAATCTACAATTTTCAACTGCAGCACTAAAGCTCTTTACCTTCTTTAGTACTTCTTGAAAATACTGGCTGCATAGCAACAAAGACAAATAAACATGATTAATTTCATACAATTCATAATATCTTAAATTGAGTTGTTGGGTTCTTTCTCAACTAGAAGAGATTGAAAGAAAAAGACTTGAAATATTTTTCATGCATTTGATGACAGTGACATAGAAAGGAAAATACAAAAAATTAGTTCAGAATACTTAAAAATGGATTTTTTAAGTCAGCCAGCCATGAGCTCTATGCAACAGATATGATATGATCATGTATTTAAATATTTTGTTACAGGCTCAAATGACTATAATTTTCATCATCATCATCATTTTTATACTGAAAGCTATGTATTTTGAATGTATGTCATCCACCCAACTGAAATAATTATGTGCAAAATATATTTAAAATAGTAGCCAACCATTTGGTCAGCTTTTGGTTGCATAGATTAACTAGAAGTCTGCCTCTGGAGTCAGATACCAGAGCTACTGACGTTTTATCATTTCTCATTCGAGCCCTAAAAGATAAGGGCTCTATCCTTTAGATAAGGAACTAAAGCTGTCTGTTTAGTTGTAACAGATTGTGTTGACACACTACAGGCAAGATGTTAGTACGTTTGGATTTCTGTCACGTTTTCACTTCAGGTGTTTGAAATATGTATGTGTGTCAACCATTTGAATCCATATTAATGGATTCCAAGGCTTAACTGTGACTGTTTCAGTTATTTCAGATTTAACATGTTGAGATCTCAAATTATGAAACTCTCAAATATATGAAATTGCTGTGTCCAGTTATCCAGTCCACAGGTGGTCTGGCCACAGAGAAACCTTTCCATGAAGGTCAAATTCATAGACGTCTCTGCTCCTACTATCAGAATGGGTTAATTAGCTTTAGTTTAAATATTCACTTCATGTTAAGGAACTTGAAGTTTAGAATATTTATTTGGTTCCTAGTTCGGTTTCAGTTTTGCTTTTCTGAATACTTAAACAGTTTTGACAGGTGAAAGGATGAAGATTAAGTACTGATTTTATTCCTTTGCACCTCAAATGTCATATATTTGGCAACATATACTAGAGAGCATTTTCCCCCCATACAATTTAATATGTAAGGTATTTAGGGGACAAGAATAGTACATAATAAGACAAAGAAATTTTAGAGACAGGTCAATAAAGGAACATGAAAATGGAATCTTTGGTTTAATTAGTCTCAACCTCTATCTGAACTATGCTTCCAAGTAACAGCATACATGTCAGAGAGGAGTTAAAGAAACATTTCACATCAGAATGTAAATCTCAGAGCTCTTTCAAGAGCTGTGAGTAGGTAGGCAAGATTCATTAGAATTGCATAATTTCATAAAATGTAGATTATTCTCTGTGAGTAGGTATCCAATGTAAGAGGAGGAAAATAAATGAATTATAATATTTTAGGTCATTGTAAGCAAAATAGTGCATTGGTATATAGAGAAAGTGGTGAACCTCTCATGGATAAAGTAGGGAAATGTAGTGCAGACATACATTTTTACGGAGGAAGATGACATAGCATTTCTGATGACTAGAGCTCATAACGTTTTTTGATTTTTTAATAAAATATATCTTTAACAAGACTGTATACTTCTAGACTGGAATTTAAACCATGTCGAAGTATAACTATTTCCAACTAAGTCTTTGAAACAGTGCTGATCCGGCCTGATGCTAGGATTGTCCATGTCATTATTACATACTTGAAATCAGTAAGAGCAGCAGACATTTTGTTTTGCTCCTTACATCATCTTTATGCCTTTTCCATATCTGTTGTAAATCTTAAGGAAGATTTTCTTAATTAAATAACAGGATGCTCACAGTATAAAATAGAACAATTCTAGCTAAGATAAATGTACAAATGGGAGCAATGCTTTAGCTACTAATATGTTTTGAGTGTTGAACTGTAGAGTCAAAACAAAATGAAAAAGGATTTCTGCTTTGAAAGCTGCAGTGGAAAAGAGGAAAAGACAAAGAAAGAAAAAACTACACTCAATAAGAAATACTATGAGTTAACATTTATGCAAATGAAACCTTTACCATGGTTAAGAAGTAGAGGTTTAATTTTGATAATCTGGTAGAATCAGGAATAAAAGAAACCTTGGGATCTAGAAACTCTAGGTTTATCACCTGACAATGTTTTTGTTTCTTCATCCAATTTTGAATGGGGAGAGTTTTCTGAACCATCAGCCCATAAATGTTAGAATTCTCTGACAGCCTGCTCTTAGATAGCTGAGGTCTTGAGAGTGGAATGAGCTAGAAATGTTTCAACAATATTATTTCTATTTCCACACATTTGAATTTTCAGATAGCTCTGGAATGCATGTTAGCTATCTCTCCCCTATATGTTTCTATGACTTTTTTCCCTTGCATTTTTGCCGTGCTAGCAATTGTATCAAGCTGTGAGTGAAGAAGTGGTTCACTGGAGTTGAAGAGTATAGTCAAGGCTGAAAGGTCTCCTCCAGACTGCAAGCCCTGTTTCAAGTGGGATGAGATTTGCCATTGTTTGGAATTCTAAATACCAGATTATCAATCATCTCAGTAAACACAAAGAAAATTATGGTTTTTTTTGACATCTTGCCACGTATATGTGACAAATATTCATTATGTACTTACTGTAGACAGTTATAGGGATTTCTTTGAAGGTACTGCCACGAACAAACTGAAAATAAATATTTATATTTAGTAACATGAAATTTAGTCATTGCACTAACATGAAATGTCATCACTGTGTTGACAAAATCTTGGCACCATGACTTTTAATTCTCACCGAAGAAGTGAAACTACCATTGCATTTAGTAAAAATGAAGTCTCCACATGTCACCTTCAAATTTCCTGCTATTGGGCAAGATGGCAAAAAATGGCTGGATTTGTTACTCAGAGTTTTAAAAATTATCAAATAGCAAATCCCAAATTAAATGTTTATTAAATAATATTTCATATGTTGTCAGGTACTTTAACCCTACTAATATTCAACCCAGTGTTTATTCCCCAATGTTCCTTTGCCTTTAACTACTGTGCTGTGTGCTTAGTCATTCAGTCATGTCCCACTCTTTGCAACCTTATGGCCTCTAGCCTGCCAGGCTCCTCAGTATATGGGGATTCTCCAGGCAAGAATATTGGAGTGGGTTGCCATGGCCTCCTCCAGGCGATCTTCCAAGCCCAGATCTCCTGCATTGCAGGCAGATTCTTTACCATGTGAACAGCTAGGGAGACCCTAACTATTGTGGTTAGTGACAATTTCTTAAAAGTAAATATCTTGCCCTTATATTCTGTAGCAAAAATATTTGATGATAGAAAAATTACTGCTTTTATCTACATGTCCCATCTTCCCTGATGGATTGTAAACTATTGAAGAAATGATGCCAATGGTGTATAATCAACAAAGAGCAGTGTACTCAGGGTATATTTACTTGTTAATATATACATTTCTATTTTTTTATGTTAAACCTGCAATGTCTGTTAAACACATTAGAAACGTATGCAATAGCCAGGCTCCTCTGTCCATGGAATTCTCTAGGCAAGAATACTGGAGCGGGTTGCTATTTCCTTCTCCAGGGGATCTTCCTGACCCAGGAATCAAACCCAGGTCTCCTGCATTGCAGGCAAATTCTTTACCAACTGAGTTACAAGGAGAGCACTATGCAATAACATCTGTACCTTAATTTGGATGTATTTGATCAGTTTATTAAGTATTTCTAGCAGCTGATCATTTCCAACAGGTGTGTCTGTGAAGAGGAATATAAAATGAATGTTGTAAAAATCAGTGAAAAAAAATCTAGGTTTCTATTGAAAAAGATTTATTTTTCATTAGTCAGTTCAATAATTACCAACCTGCTGGATAGAGGAGTTTATCTATGACATGAATGACACCATTTGTTGTCATGATGTCAGATTCTTTTGACTTCAGTTCATTTACCAGAAGTGTATCATTTACCTGTTAAAACAGGGGATAATGTCAATGGGAAATTTAATGAAATATGAACATTAGGATAATTGAATACTGGATTAACATTCTCATAGATATATTCTAGAGAACTTACTCCTTTCAGATAGATTTTACTTCCTTGTGTGGTCTTTAAAATGTTAGTAACACCAGGTTCAAAACCTTTTCCAATGAAAACTCCTGGTGTCAGGTGGTAAAGGATGATGTTTTGAAGAGCATTTTTGTCCCCTAGGAGAAAAATATATATATTTATTTAATAATATGTCATATATTTTGACATTTTGATATTATGATGACTAACGGGAAAATATTTCTTTGTGTTTATTTTTTTCCACACTGTAATTTCTCATAATGTCATTGTTCTCTCAAGGCAGTATCAATGCTATATCAAAACATAGTCTCTTCAATCAATTCAATCAAAATATTATCCACCTTACTGGAGGAAAAAAATCAAATTATTTTTTGAAATTGTGGCTATTTCCTTCTTCACCTCACTGTGTGGCCTTTAATAGAGATGACATAAGTGATTATCTAGCCCCACAACATGATGGTAAGCAGTTATTTGAGAACACCAATGAGGGAACTTCTACATATTCTAAGTGGAATAAAAGGTGAGGAGGGCTAGCCATGAATATGAAAGAGGGAACTTTGGGGGACCGACATCTAGGCAGGAACGCTTGAGGAAGAAATGAGATCATGAAATCAAGGGGTAAATATATCTGGTGTTCACTTCTACTCACGAATCAGAATTTCCTTTTCTTCATTAGTCATTCCCTTAAAGGCATCATTGGTTGGTACAAATAAGGTCCAATCTCCAGGCTGTGTTAGGAGCTCTTTCAAGTCTGCAGCTTCAAGTAGACTGAGGAAGATGCTAGGCAGGAAGGACACATGTTTATTAGACTTAGTCTAGGTGAGCCTACCAACTATGCCTGAAATACAGTAGAATCCCTATATGTGGAAGAATGAGAAAATGGCTCATACACTTTCATATGTTTCAAATGAAATTTACTGTTAAAGGTTTATCATAGGGAAATTATTTAAATATATGTATGATTTTTAAATTTCCAAACCTCTGTTTTCCCCCTGTAATGCTTGATGAAGTCACATTTGGTAACAAAATAGAAGCATTTGTTCATTTAATATTCTGCAAAATAGTCTTTGCTAATATATACTATCATTTTTTAAAAACATAATTATAAAAAATTTCAAGGAGTAGTTCAGTCTATTAGATTGGTTTTTGTTTGTTTTTTACTCACCAAATTATATTATGTAAGAAAACTAGTGTTAAGAACATATTTTAATTTTGAAAACATTTGTATAAGCTTCTTATTCTAAATTCCATTCTCAGCAATACTGAATATTGAATGCATTTTGGAATACTTACTGTGAAATAAAACTATGCCAAAAGGTCTTATTCTCCTGTGGAGGTGAAGCTTACCTGAAGCGCTTATCTTGTTTCAGTTTTTCATGGAGGGATTTCTCTGCTGGTTTGATGATCTCTCGGAATATGTGAATGGCACCATTTCTTCCTTGCTTGCTTCCTCTCACCATGCATGAATTTTCAATGCAGACAGCCTAGCAAAGAAAAGAAGGATACAACTGTGCATTTCTTTATTTGAAATTCCCTATGTGGAAGAAGCTCCCTAATAAAATTTCTGGATGGTTTCTTCTAAAACGTCTCTAGACTTCTGATGTCAGAAGAAACAGTTTCTCTCCTCTGTTTTTAACATCTTGTACCATCTGATCTGGGCTTCTCTGGTAGCTCAGCTGGTTAAGAATCTGCCTGCAATGCAAAAGATCCCAGTTCTACTCCTGGGTGGAGAAGGGATTGGCTACCCACTCTAGTATTCATGAGCTTCCTTGGTGGCTCAGATGGTAAAAAATTCACCTGCAGTGTGGGAGACCTGGGTTCGGTCCCTGAGTTCAGTCGATTCTCTGTAGGATGGCATGGCAACCCACTCCAGTATTCTTGCCAGAAGAATCCCCATGGACAGAGGAGCCTGGTGGTCTGCAGACCATGGGGTCGCAAAAAGTCGTACACAGCCGAGTGACTAAGCACAGCACATCGTCTGACCTCACTTCTCTTATTCAACCAAGTTTTCTACTACTAGGCAAGCTACTGTGTGTAGGGTAAAAAGTGTTGTCAGTTGTTGTTGTTCGGGTGCTAAGTCATGTCTGACTCTTTGCGACCCCATGGACTGCAGCATGCCAGGCTTCCTTGTCCTTCACTATCTTCAAGATATTGCTCAAACTCATGTCTATTGAGTCAGTGATGCCAAAGCAATTCCATATAATTCTACTTCTGTGTTTTCTGTCATTCCTCTCTAGGTTCTACTCATTCTTTCAGACCCTTACTAGTAAATTTCTTTAACCATGAAGTTTAGTGACTTCATTGCCTCTTATGATCTTTACTATATACTACTATGGAGTGGCGTGTGTGCTTAGTCGTGACCAACTCTTTGCTACCCCATGAATTGTAGTCCACCGAGCTTGTCTGTCCATGGAATTTTCCAGGCAAGTATACTGGAATGGGTTGCCATTTCCTACTCCAGAGGATCGTCCCAACCCAGGGATCAAAAACGTAGTTCTTGTGTCTCCTGCAATGGCAGGCAAAGTCTTCACCAGTGGCAGCACCTGGGAAGCCACTATATATTACCACTATAGCCACTATATATGGGGAAGCCCATATCTTACAAAATATTGCTGTATTTTCTATGTAAATATTTACTGTATTGATGGTAAGGCCCTATCAGTTATAAGTTAAATTACTGGTTAAGTTATAGCACTTTGAACAAAAATAATGTTTATATATGTACCATTTAGAACGCAGCATGTTTTCTGTTTTGTTTTTGTTTTTTTTTTTGCCTGTACCATACATCATGTGGGATCTGTTTCCTCATCAGAGATTGAACCCACCTCCCCTGTGTTGGAAGCACAGAGTCTTAACTACTGGACCACCAGGGAAGTTCCTTCCGTATCATTTAAAAAGTGTGTCTTGACCTTGTGGAACTATGGTATGAAAATGCTGAGTCATGTTTGGTTCTAGGTCATCTTTGACTTATGAATTCTTTTTAGCTGTAACTGCAAGGTTGCCTGGAAAGAAACTGAAAAGCACCACTTGTCAAACTGTAATTTTGATAAGCAATATTTTCTAGAAACTTTTCCTCAGATAAGGCACATTAGAACCATTTTATAGAAATCTTTATGTGCCTATAAAAGTTTATCATGAAACTCATTCAAAAGAGATTTAGTTGGTGAATGGTGACTGTACAGTCAAAGATCATCCTAAATATTTGACTCAGTATAAAAATTACCATGTAAACAGTAAAGTACGGTACTCTATGAAACAAAAAGCTTATTTTAAAGGGGTTTTAGTGATTTATGGGATTGAAACAATGCTTTAGAAAAAGTTATTTATGATGAAACAAGTGCAAATTGTTTTTTATTAATTATTAATATGTAGCACTTTCGTATAATTTCCTCATAGTCTTTTCAAACATGCTACTCACTTCTCTGATCTTCCTATGAATATTTACTATTAAAATCATATTAGTAAAACTCTAAGGAACATTTATTATAAGAACAGTTTTTGAGAGGGGCATATCTTTTGACATGTAGGTCAGTGTGAATATTTTATCTCGTTCCGATTCACTTACTGTACGGTACACGAAGACTCTGAGCTGTTTGCCTCCAATGGTCTCAAGTTTTTGTCCATTGTAAAGCTCATTAAGGCCAACTTTTACTTTCAATATATGATTCTGTAGAATTAATTTAAGAAGGCGCTGATCCATGCTCAGAGTATCATCTATAAGTAAATTCATTACAAAAGAATGTTATTTTATTTAGAAAGCATTACAGTTTCCCCTGTAAGAGAAAATCATGAAAATGGAAAATCCCTAATATTATAGATCTTAAGGATCCTACACTTATATATGAGTTGACTAAATACTGAAGGCTAGAAACTCTATGCACCACGAGCTATTTCATCAAATGATTACATGATTCCAAGCAGTCCAGACAACAGGTTACATCTCAGTGAGGGCAACATGGTTTTGTGTGATTATTGATAAGGGTTAAACTTTAAACTCTAAGGCTGGCCAAGATTTTCTCTGAGATTTTCTCTGGAAATATATTTCCAGATATTCCTTGGAATTTGATGTCCACTAGTCACATGAAAAACAACTGATGAATCATTTGTAAATTTACTTTAATTTCTGGAGAGAGAGCCGGCAAATCATGTAACCTCTTAAAGTTGGCTTGGTGTCAACAAGTTACAGACCTTATTATTACAAAAAGGGAAAACAGCATTTTTTAGAATTTGAATTTTCTTATTAATAACTTTCTATGTTACAATCTAGTATTTGGAAAAACATGAAAAATAATGATGATTATTTTTTCATTGTTAAATTTTGCCTAACAATTCACAATATGTCTTGTGAAGTCATTGTTTCTGGAAAAAAAAGTAAGATTGTATTACTCTAACCACAATTTTTAAATAGCAGCTACAAGGTCAAATACTTGTAATAATAGTTCACATCATAATATAGAAGTATATCATATTCTCCTGTTTTTATTTTCTCATAATTTGATACCTTACTTTCAAATTCTGAGTTGCAAAATGCACCTATGTATAATGTTGGTGTTAAACAAATCAAATTTATTTTTCTTAAGATCTGTTAATATACCCATTATGTGTGCTGGAAATATGATCAGGTTCACAGAAAAACTGAAGACCCCTATCACAAAATTTCACTTCCAGTAGGCCGTTACCTATTATAATGAAATGTTTTGAAATAAAGGACATTTTAATAAAAACAGAACTAATTCATTGTATATGTAGCCAGTGAAGAAACTAATCAACACCTCATGAAAGATCTATTATTTCTTAGCAGACAGTCATGGTGAAGGGAAAAGAAAAAAGGTGTGTAGGGGTGGGAAGAGCTGGAATGGCAGTGGCCGATACATACCAGAAAATGCATTATTCACAGGTGCCAGCAAAGTGTATTCTCCATCTGGCCTCAGAGCAGATGCCAAGCCTAATTGGGCCACAAGGTCTGTGAAAGTGGTTTGCTGATTTCCAGCCAGCTCAATAACTTGTTTGGCTGTAAAATAAACCATGACCATTCAAACAATGTCATCGTTGTTATTACCATCATCATGAAATTAGTAAATCAGTTCTTGGCTGTTTCCATAAGCTATTTGCTGTACTAGCAATGTGATAAGAAGTCTTGCCTTTCCCTAGTAAGAGAGTTCCAGCTTTCCTTTTTTTTGGGGGGGGGGTAGTGGTGGTGAAGGGGTTAATAACCAAAGAATTTCAGAAGGAAAATATCTTTCTGATTTCATGCTTTTCAGTTTTCTTCAATTGTCTATTGCTCATCCCTTGTCTCTCTGCTCTTGTGAGGGCCATAGCTCTTTCATTTATCCCAAGGAAACCTTTTGGTTATATCTTTCCTTCCATTTTTAAGAAAAACTCTGGCACTCTAAGAATCTTTGATGATATTAGATATTAGAAACTCTGGAAAGCCAGGGCCTATTGCACTGGCATGACCATGAGTACACAAGCTACCTATTTAGGACTCAGCTCACTGTTAGTTGTTTGTTTTTTTTTAAAATATTTTATTGAGGAAAACATCAAACATATACAAAAGTAGACAGAATAGAATGGTAAACTCTTATGTAGCTATGACCCAGCTACAGGCATGTCCATTTGACCAGGGGTCAGCAAGTTATCACCTAAGAGCCAAGTCTAGCCCACTACTTGTTTTTATAAATAAAGTTTTATTGGGCCACATCACTGTTAGCTTTGTTTGTGCTTCACGTGGCATTCTTCATACTGCACATTTATTTCTCATAGGCCTATTCTTTAGACATCATAATTGATAAACAACAGTAGGTAGAAGAATGGGAAACTGTTGCTCACCAGAATCAGGAATCAGGACCTGATCAATCAAATGGATGACACCATTATTTGTCACAATATCTTTTTTGTTCACCATTTTAATTCCATTTACTGTTATGCTGTCACCATCACATCCTATCTCAATGGTGTTTCCTTCCAGGGTCTCAAAGACAGCTCCTCCCATGATAGCCTCTGAACACTGGAGGGTGTTTAGAATGTGGTACTTCATGAGAGCTAGAGGATGAAGGAAAAAGAACATGCTTTTGGATCAAGGGAAATAGCATTTGACTCTTAATAGATGTATTTCATTGTGGAACAAAGTGTTCCTTAGAGATAGAATGCATATATAAGACCTTAGTATTGACCTAAGGTTTTAAAATTTTGTTTGCTCTCAGAATGGTCTTTTTCATCAACTCTACAGTAAAATTAACTCAGTTTGGTAGGAAATAAGCAGAAAAGAAGATCAACTGCATGACATTATTTGTATAGTTCTAGAAAATGTGTTAGGTCAAGTTCCATTTATCATAAGAAAATAATTTCTGATGGAAACTCAAGAATAATTTCTCCTTTAAGAAAGCCTTCAAAGTTATTTGTTAGTGATACCTGTTGCAAACACCCAAGTAGTATCTTGCTTTAACTACTCATGACAGCTGAACAGGCAGAGTTTACTTTATTGAGCTTCACTTTTGTGTGTTTTGCAGGTAGTGTGCTTTTTTCAAATTGGAGGTTTGTGGCAGCCCTAAAGACAACATCTAGAAAGTAGCCAAAGCAAAGATGGTTTCTTGAAAGACTTCAGAAGTGATCTGTGCCTAAACAGTATTATGTCTATATTTTCACCAAAATATCTCATCATAAATTGGCTAAGCATGTTTACGGTAGGCTGCATAAGAGAAATGTGCTAGTCACAATGTAAAATCTAGTTGAAACTATCAATAAAAAGGGAGTCTGGAAAGAAGCCAAATTCTCTGTATGAATAAATAGTGACCAAAGATAACCATGGAATTTTCTCCACTAACTTCAGTGTAAATTTAGAATTAAAACCATTGAATAACATATGTACAATATTAAACTTTCATGATCTAATATTTCAACACTTTCTAATTATTTTTAATGCCTGCTACTTATTTACTTGAAAGCAGTGCAGAAATATGTGATCGTTAGGATACCCTGAGAATTTAATTACTTGGATTATTAAATTAATTATTTAATTACGTTGTCTACTCTTTCAAAGATTTTATTTTCAAAATGATAATATTGCAGGACTTAATCTTTTTTTTCATTTCCTTTTCTTGGGATCCTGGGAGGCTTCTCATAGACAAAGACACTTACATACCTTCTGAAGCCACTTTGTCTCCCATGATCCTTTCTAGAACTCCTCGTGGAAGTTTCTCAAAAGCTTCATTGGTGGGAGCAAAGAGTGTGAAGTGACCATCTCTCCCAAGCGTTTCCAATATATCGGATGTGATGGCAGCTGCCTGAAACACAAATGTGCTTTTCAGAGGCTTGCATGTTGCAAATTCAGAAAAAAGTTACAAGACACTCAGTCTAGGCTGACGCAAGAGAGTTGACCCTATAGAAAGCTGTAGAAGTTATATCCTACTCTTCTTATATCTTTAAAATTTTTTTTTCTTTTTTTTTTTTTGCACAACCAACCATGTTATTTCGAACTTTCTCCAAACTGTATACTAGATGGGAAATTCTGCTAATGCCTGTGTGACTGAAGCAATATCCAGCAGTTAGTGTAATAACTGACGGACACATTCTAAATGTGCTCAATACACTTCAGTCACATAACTAATCATTCTTTATTATGTCCACATAAATATTATTCTTTCATATGAGAAGACGTGTTCTTCTGGATAAAATGAAAGCCTTTTCATTTCAAGGAATATACTGCTTGTGTGTCTGCCAGAATTGACAGTCTTATTAATGAATGGCTTTTTATTATTTTTTTAGAATCTGATGGGGAAGAGGAGAATTTCAGTGGCCCAAAACTATCTGCTGCTACTTCTTGGACTTACCCTAAAAGATGAGAGCTCATCTTCTGCTTCAATGAAGTCCTGAATTGAGGTACCGATTTGTGTGAGGACACGGTCAATGACATGCACCACGCCATTTGTTGCAATCTGGTTCCCATGGATGATTCGAGCACAGTTCACAGTGACAACCTGCAATTATTTGGGAAAATCAAATTGCAGAAATCACAGCTGTCTGTTGACCATTGAGACTGCATGCCCATTTCCCATGTCTCAAGTTTATTGGTAAACGTAACATAAAAGAACTGACATTCTGAATATAAATGCTGAGGATGAAGACTTACAAATTACTATGTCTAAAAAAAAAAACAAACCCACAAAAAAATCCAAAAGCTAAGAGAAAATGCAACTAGTTGAGAACCCAGTTATACTTAACATGTCTAGAAACATAAGGCAAAAACATTTTTTTGAATTATTGTTTTTATTGCTCTTTCTTTTATAGAGATAGTCACACACTATTTCTAATGTAGGCCAAGCTCTGAGACAGAAACAATTATTACATAAATATAATCAGTTCTATTTCAGTGATTTCCTGAATATTGCTTCATCACTGACCCTCTCTGTCCCTGGAAATCTGACTGTTGGAAGAGCCCCATGACCTTGTTGGAAGTTTCCCACAAAGATGTTATCAAAACATGCTTATCAAAACCCACAAAAATCTAAATGAGTATAGTAGCTAGGGGATGAATAAAAGAATTCTCATTCTCTGATTATTCTTTGATAAATTCTTATTCTTTATTTTTCTCTTATTATTGACTATTCAAACACATCAACTAATAAAATTACCCTTTGTGGAACATTTAAGTCTACTGTCAACAAACTGTCAATTTAATTTCTTCCTTGCCAACACTCTTTGGTAGAAATCAGTCACTGAATTGGAAATTCACATGCTTTACATGTAAGGAAAAGTTTACTCACTGACATTTTATTATTTCTGTAAACCTTATAGAAAGGTCATAGAAAAAATTAGGGGCAGTGTTATTGATAAATGTACCTTTTATTAAATAAACTTACCCCATTAGGATAATGGTTAATGAAGAGCCCCAAGTTGTTATACATTGAAGGGATAATCATGCCATTTTTCAAGTCCTTGGTCAACATTCTCTTATTAACCATGTGACTGTGTAAAGCATTCAGTAATTCAACATTCACATTGCTCTCCAGACCTCTCCGGATATCCTAGGAAAAATTGAAATGGCAGAAATTTATTTTATTATAGTTAATTATTAAAATGCCTATAACACAGTTTCTACTCTCTTATTATTTTCTCATTGAATTACCTAGATGGTCAAAACAAATTGAAATAAATAACTTAAAATTATATTATTTCAATTGATTAAGAAATTTTGTAAGTACAGGTAGTCAGTAAAGTCTTCCAAATCTTATAGAGTATTTGGACATTTTTAGAGACAAAACAAAAATTTTAATGAATATATTGATGGAGAGATGCTCTTGCTGTCAAGGCATAGGGGATATGAAATTATCAGATATTTAAAATTTTAGGGTGGGAAAAATTTAAAATGGCATTATATTTGTATACATACAGTATTGTAATTTTAATGTGTTTTATGTTCATTCTATAACATTCAAGAATTCAGCCATTCTGTACCTTTCATTTATCTACTATCATATCATACTATATTCGGTGTTATGAGAAATACAATGATAAGTAAGGTGAAATCTTAATCTTTGTGGTACTTATCCTATGTGTGTGCATGTTAAATCTCTTCAGTTGTGTCTGACTCTTTGAGACCCTATAGACTGTAGCCCACTAGGCTGCTCTGTCCATGGGATTCTCCAGGTAAGAACACTGGAGTGGATTGCCATGCCCTCCTCCAGGGGATCTTCCTGACCCAGGGATTAAACCCATGTCTCTTGCATCTCCTGCATTGGCAAGCAGGTTCTTTACCACTAGCGCCACCTGAGAAGCCCACGTATCCTATAGTGAAGTCGCTCAGTCATGTCCGACTCTTTGCCTACCAGGCTCCTCTGTCCATGGGATTTTCCAGGCAATAGTACTGGAGTGGATTGCCATTTCCTTCTGCACGTATCCTATAGCAGCTGGTAAATATAAGCATAATTAGATAAAGGACGGATGGAGAAAAAAGTGCTTTCGAGGTCAAATGAAAATGGCCAGCAATTCAAAGTTTGGAGACAGGTCATGGAGGATAAGTAGATAGGGTAGGAATGGTGTGGTGATCTTTCTAAGTCCAACTGCTGGCACAGAAAGCAGAAGTTGTCCAGTGTGGTTTTATGTTTCTCAGATAATAGAGAGACATTTTAGATAAGTGTATGGGACAATGACATGGAAAACCTTAATTCCCAAGCAAAGAGTAAATTAAACTGGCAATAGGGAGCCTTAAGCTACTTTTGTGGCATTAGAATATAATGATTAGCCTGGTTTTAAGAAGGTTAATCTGGTGGCAATGTGTAACAGAAGGAGAGTATGATGAGGATGAAAAATGAGCTGTTGATGACTAATAGTAGTTTCTAAGAACTGAAGAGGGAAGCAGTAAGGATGACTCATAATTTTAAAGTTTGAACTCTGAGATTGGGGATGCTAGTTACGGAAACAGCAGAAAAGCAGTTTTTGATGGGGAGAAAGTGGCATCTGTTTTGGATAACAGTTTGTTTAAAGATACAGACCGTGTATCGAAGGAGAAATATTAAGACAGGTGTTCGAAATATTCTCCTGGGGATCCAGTAACACAGACTTCATGGTTCTATGCATTAAGTGAAAGCTGAAGCCATCTGAAATGCATATGAACTGCAGAGTTCCTAGAAGAGACTTTAATAAGACCCATTCTTAAGACAAGGAAGAAGAGGAGTCTGCAAAAAGGGCCAGAAAGGTGGTTAGAGATATGGTCAAAGACAACCAGAAGAGAGAAAGTTCTGTATTTGCAAGCAAGTAACCTCACAGTTAATGTATCAAGGTAAAATCTCAAAGAATCTACCTAAGTTTTACTAAATACTATATGACTCATGAGTTTGAGCAAGCTCTGGGAGTTGGTGATGGACAGGGAAGCCTGGCATGCTGCAGTCCATGGGGTTGCAAAGAGGCGGACATGACTGAGTGACTGAACTGAAGTGACATGACTCTAGTAGTAAATTTCAATTCATCGTCACATCAGATAGAAAGTAGGAATATATTTCTATACCAGTTATATAAATCTGGATATTGAGTCATAACTTAGTGTGCTATAAATCAGACTATGCATTAAAAAATGTGAAAATTAAATGTATCATTTACAACCCTTCATTTAAATATCCATACATACTTATGTCAGTCTCTGAACAGTCATACATATTTATATGCAATTAAAATGATAAATAGATATATAAAATACACCTTATTAAAAATAACATTTCAAGAGGCTTCTTAACTTGCCTTTATACAAGATATATCATCTAAAATTACCTATAATTCTCCACAATCAAAAGGGAAAGAGAAAAGAAGTAAAATGGAATAATAATAAGTGCTTGTTCAATCTACTATTGGTTTGCCTTTTTTGTTATTAGTCCATGAGCCTGCTGGGCTGTTATTCCATTCATGGAGGTACTAAAATGATTTGTTCCTTTTTTTTTTTTTTGCATGCTCATTCATGTCCAACTCTTTGCGACCTCATGGACTGTAGCCTGCCAGGGTCCTCTGTCCGTGGGATTTTTCCAGGCAAGAATACTGGAATGGGTTGCTGTTTCCTCCTCCAGGGGATCTTCCCACCGCAGGGATCAAACCCACATCTCCTGCATTGGCAGGCGTATTCTTTACCACTGAGCCACTTTTTCCTTACCCTCAATTAAGGAGCATCCTTAATACCCTCATCCTTTTATGTATCATCATATATGCACAGCAGAAAGATATACAATTTCTATTAATTTATAAGTTAATAAATCAATTGAAATAATGTAACAATAACAGCAAAAGTTATATTCACTAAAAATAATGAATTACAGAATCCAGGTTGTCCCAAGCTTCGTTACTCGGTGCGAAGTAAGTGAATGATCCCTTTCCTTCGATCTCCTCCCTCAGTTTTGAGACATCAGAATAGCGCTGTGTGGTGGTAGCTCCCACAATGCCCAGGGTTCCATAAACATGGTCAATAGGCAACACTGAAATAATCAAGAGATGAATAAGTACTTAGGAGAAAATGTCAAAAATGTTATTTTACAATGATTTAACCTTTACAAGAAGTCCCTCAAGATATTTAACTGATGATTTTAGCAACACAAGTCTATGAATCATCAGTTTTATATGAAAGTTGCCTTTTGAATGTCAAGTGATAAAGTCCTATTGTTGTTGCTCTTCAGTCACTCAGTTCCGTCCGACTGTGACCCAATGGATTGCAGCATGCCAGGCTTCCCTGTCCTTCACTGTCTCTTGGAGTTTTCTCAAACTCATGTCCATTGGTTTGGTGATGCTATCTAACCATCTCATCCTCTGCCACCCCCATCTTGTTTTGCCTTCAATCTTTCCTAGCATTAGGGTCTTGCAGGCTCCTCTGTCCATGGAATTTTTTAGGCAAGAATACTGGTGTGGGTTGCCATTTCCTACTCCAGGGGATCTTCCCAACCCAGGGATTGAACTTGCATCTCTTGTGTCTCTTTCACTGGCAGGTAGATTCTTCACCACTGGTACCATCTAGGAAGCCCCAAAGTACTTATCCTTTGTGTTGAAGGTCAATGAATTTTAAATTATTATCCTAGTTTAATGTTTTATCTATTTAGTTGTTAAATCTGCTATAAGGGTTCAATCACAATTATCACTGAGTATCTTTGATAATTTCATTAAAAAAAATTTCCTCACTTCTCTCTGAGAGTGGCCAAGGTAATATTTTTTTTCATGTTGGCTTAAAGCTCCTAAGTAGTATAATATGGTAGGTGTCAGGACCATAATTACATAGATTTGGGTCCCTGAAAGAAATGTGTAGACCTACTTCTTTTCATCATAATTTCAGGAAGAAAATAGATTAAAATATCTAACACTTCCAGAATCTATCTCCTGAACTTCAGAATGAAAATTAATATATGAATGCTAACCTTTAGGTTGGGTACAGCCAACTTACTCTTCATGACCTTATTTGAAGTTTAGTATGATTTGGATCATATCACAGGAGAAATGATTCTTATCTTTGTGACAATAGAAAGAACAAGTATGCAATTAGTAAATTAAATTACAAAATCAGGATTTAAAGACACCCCAACAGAATGGGGAAAATGAGTCCAAATTAATAGGTTAAATACCTCAAGGTTCCATGTAAGTCCTGTGCCTAAGTTGAAAAAACAAATCCCTGTGGAAGACTTGATTTGATAGTATTCATATAAAACAGACCAGTAATCTATATTAATTAATTAAAAATTCAACATGAGCTAATGGCATAACATGGTTACCAATGACATCAACAAAAGTTCAGGAGCTCCCTACACTGACGTATTTGTCTTAATATTCTCTCCACTGCCTGGATACACATGAGTTGTAGACACCAGTTTTGAATCACAATAAAAAAAAAGACTGGATTAGAGGTTTCCCATGTGTTGCTGTTCATGACAGTAAGGGCTCCAAAGTCTAGATCCCACTCAAACTGTGGGTGATGAGCCCACAGAAAGGAAGATTCTATTGGGGAAGAGAGAGTAGCTGGAGGAAGGGTGCGATGACTTGTGTTAAATATTTTAATGGCTGTCATCTCAAAGAGGAAATAGATGAACTATTTTTTTCTGTAGTTGGCTAGTTACAGGAAACCAACTTTCAGTATGAAGAATCTTATAAAATCAGAGCTGTTGAGCTGTTGAATCAGAAAAGATGATGCCTTGCCAAGTAGTCAGCTCATGTTTCTAGACAAGTTCAAAGAAAGGGATTTTGTAGTGGGGATCTTTGTCTTGAAGGAATGTTGAACTAATTTAAATTTGGAATAAACATCTGTTGTCCAGCATCCAGTGTACAAGATGTATGTTTTCACGCTTTATTGCCAAGATAAACTAGTGATTAAGATATGGAGAATATATCTTGGATTTATCATACTGCTAAACACACACACACACATATTGGCTTCTCTAAAAGCTAATTCAACTCTTTTTCCTTACACAAGACAAGTTTTTCATTTAATTCTATAATTGAAACATTACCTGCTGGGCAGCCTTTCATTCCTTCCATCTTCATATAACCAGGGCAGCATTCATATAACACAGTCCTATACATTGGAAGAAAATTAATATTAAAATGGAGGCACTGCGTAGGATACATTTTGACAAAGTTAACAAAACATATCATTTATTGCCATGACTTATTGATAATTTAGATATCAAGTTTGTTGTCTGTTTATGACATTGTTTAGTTGCTAAGTTGTGTCTGACTCTTTGCAACCCCATGAAACAGCAGGCCAGGCTTCCCTGTCCTTCACTATCTCCCTAAGTTTGCTCAAACTCAAGTCCGTTGAGTGGGTGATGCATCCAACCATCTCATCCTCTGTTGCCCGCTTCTCTTCCTGCCTTCAATCTTTCCCAGTATCAGGGTTTTGTCTAATGAGTTGGCTCTTCACATCAGGTGGCCAAGGTATTGGAGCTTCAACTTCAGCATCAGTCCTTCCAATGAATATTCAGGGTTGATTTCCTTTAGGATGGACTAGTTTGATCTCCTTGATGTCCAAGGAACTTTAAGGAGTTTTCTCCAGCACCACAATTCAAAAGCATCAGTTCTGCGCTCAGCCTTCTTGATGGTCCAACTCTCACATCTGCACGTGATTACTGGAAAAACCATTGCTTTGACCTTTTATGACATTAAGGTATTTATATGAGTTTCATTTCTCATTAGCCTCATGGCATGGTGGAAAAGTTCCAGGATCGTGGAGTCAGAATGAAGTTTGGTTCCCAGTTCCACTACCTAGTAGATGTGTGACCTTGAGCAAATCATTTAATACATTTCTGTCAACTGATAGATAAGTTCCTAAAGATGACTTTGGAATTTTTAGCAGCTGCAAGCAGATGGCAAATCAGGCATACTTCCTGTCAATATTATTGATTTCTTTGGTTATTTAAAACTAGCTACTAGCATTTACATTTGTTCCAGAGCATAGATGTCAATATGTTTGTGAAAATGAAGTTAACAGAAATAAGCTAATGTAATAAATCAAAGAACATGTTTTATTTCTGGTAAAAAGCCAGACTTCAAAGCAGAAGTTGTTTTTAATGGAAAGCAAGAAGGATTCTTGGCATATGCCTTGTACAAGACTTGGCATCTCTAATATGTTTAGAGGATTAAAGTAAGATTATATCAGACTTCCTTAACTTCCAGGAAGGGTGTAACAAAGATTTCCCTTAAATGTTTCAAAAAGCAGGTCCTTTCTTAGGTAGTTAGTGTGCATTCCAAATAAGCCTCATGGTAACCAAGAATATAAAGAACAAAGGGAGAAGAATCCAGACTTTGGCATTCCCAACTGGGGCCTGACCTAAATCATGGCCAGGATTCTTGTAACCACTGGCTTACATTATAATTGTGTGAATAACTCGTAAGTCTAGCAGATGTCTGCAAACTAATAGGAATAATGTCCCGGTCAAGAAGTAACATTAGTTACAGTTATATTAAGCCAATGTGTGGGAAGAGGCAGCAGTGTCCTGTGGGGTCCTAAACTTGGTTATTATAGGGAGTCCAGCTAAGGCTCTGTGTTTTGAATACATGATTCTTAGTAGAAATAAAGATAACCCTATGCACTTTAAATAGGTATCTGTTTATACCTCCTTTTCCCACCAGCGTATATCCAATTTGCTTAAAATAATTTAAACTTAAGGATGACTAATATTATGAATTAGAGTTATTTAGTAATTTCACATTTGTTCATTCATTTTACCTCCAGAGCTTCCCTGGTGGTTCAGACAGTAAAGCATCTGACTACAATGAGGGAGACCTGGGTTCAGTCCCTGGGTTGGGAAGATCCCCTGGAAAAGGAAATGGCAACCCACTCCAGTATTCTTGCCTGGAAAATCCCATGGATGGAGAACCCTGGTAGGCTATAGTCCAAACTATAGGTAGGCAAAGTGTCAAACTTGATTGAGCGACTTCACTTTATTTTACTTTCTTTACCTTCAGAAAATGAATTAAATTCACATTTCATAGGTAAAGCAATGAAGACTCCAAAAGGTTATGTGACTTAGTATTTGTAACCAATATTATTAAGTTAGGAATATATTTTTAACAATACCCTAATCCTTTCACCTATTTAGGGTATCTTAAGTTTAACGATGATGTGTCTCCCATATTGTGGTTCTCAGGGTATCCTTCACTGAAGGTGGGGTCCAAATTAATAGGAAGCAGGCAGGAGCCATTTCCACTGTTTTCTTGACCGAGGATGACATCTCTGACCTTTTTGATCTGGTAACTTGCTCTATCTAGAACTCAGCTCCTCCATCTTAAAATGAAGAATTTGCCAATATGTATTAATTGATTAAACCAATAAGCTATCAAGTAATAAAAAATGTCTTCCAATTTTAAGTTAATCAGTGAAACAGATAACTAAATTGAGGAGTAATCATCTTTTTTGGTTATCGAAATAGTAGATATAGTGGTGGGCTTCCATTATCACCTTTGGAGACTCTGAGAATCTGACAGTTTGGGATAGAGTGACTGGATTAAATGAAAAGATGAAACTTGAATCTTTTCCAACTTTAATCTTTGATGAAAACTCTGGGGTAAAGTGGAGAATTTTAGATAATTTCTAAATGACTGGAGGCAAACAATCTTACCTTAAAATCCTGACTTTTCAGATCAATCTGATCCTCTGGCCCATTTTTTAATAAAATGAGAAAACTGAGACACTGAGGTTAATTGACTTGCCCAAAATAAAAGAAGCCAAACCAGGAGGAGAAATGACGTAGTCAAACTCTCAGTGATTCCACTCAAACTCTCAGAGATTCTACACCAAGTCACATGGCCAGGGGCCATTTCCTTTTCCAGGGGATATCCTGACCCAGGGATCAAACCTAGGTCTCCTATATCACAGGCAGATTCTTTGCCAACTGAGCCACCAGGAAGCCCTAAAGAGGCCAAACCAGGAGTAGAAATGACATAGTCAAACCATTAGTGATTCTATAGCAGGTCACATGGCCAGTGCCATAGGTTCAGGAATAAAGTTAGTTTTCTGAATACAGGGAGAAATGCAGGGGAAATTTCTTTATTTACAGTGATCCATTTTTTTTAAGCTCCCAATTTTGGAGAGTATTTTCAGAACAATGTGTCTTTCTGTCCAAAGAAAGCCATGGGCATTGCAGTGTTGTCTTTGGAAGCGGCACATTAAAGAAAAGATGAGACTTACGTTTTTTTCCCACAGATGGCACCTTGATACCAGTTCCTGCAGGTACTGAAGTATTTCTTTTTGGTGCCCAAAATCTGTTGAAGGGCACAGACATTTGGACTGGGAGACAGAAGTAAGGAAAGAGTGTTAATGTCATAACATTAACAAATAGCTTTTCATATCTGTAGGTCAGGTGGTTAAAACAAGGAAAGAAAAAGAAAAAGTTAATATGTGGCTTAGATTTTCAAAGATGTGACTCTAGTCATGGACAGATCTCATTCTTGATCCAATCCTACTGAGTCATTACAAAAACTAACTGTGAGAGACAGAGAGGAAATTGTACACCTCTGGGAATACAATGCCAGTATTTCAGAAGTAAATAGATTTTAACAATATGTTTCTTATTACTTTTAATAGTAGGTAATGCCCTGACCCTTCTAAACCAAACATGTACTCACTTAGGGCATGGGAGTGGCTTCAGGGCCCTGGAACAATGACAGATCAGACAGCAAAATAGACAAGTTTTACTAAGTCCCAAGATACTGTACTCTGTAATTTTCTAGGTAAGCAATCATAGAAGTAAGTGAATGCTAAGATTAACTTAAATAATATGGCTGCCCAAAGGAAAATTTATTTCTTTGCCTGGAAGTAATTAGATTAAAACATTCTCTGCCAGAATTTTAAGTGTTTTTTTTCCGTTAAAGAGATGTGAGTCTTATTTGCTCTGTAAAGCAAGGGAACTTGGAAGCATGACGAAAAATTCTCTGAGACATAGGCAGCAGCGCCGTGATCCATTTCAAAAATTAACACTAAATGCTTGGTTAAGTTACTAAATTGTCTGATAACTTTAAGAAACTCAGTTGTAGTTTTTTCTATGAAATCAAGTTATTACAAATTTTACAGAATGCAAAATTTAAAAGCATTCTTAAATGCTTCAAAAAACTTCAGAAAACTTGTTACATTATATATTGTTTAATTTTCATACATAAATGAAATTTTCCCTAACATAATGTGAGGTATTTCAAAGCTGTTTATGTAAAGAGAGCCTCTAGCTACAGATTCTTTAATTTTGAAAACCCCATTCTGGAAATTTAGAGGGAAATAAAACACTAATAAACTGAATCATAAAGAAATGCCCTGTTAAATGTTGTTAATTAGACTAAAATCTTGCAATGTTTCATAAAAAAAGCAATTATACACAAATTATTTGGACAGTAATTTTTAAAGTTTAAGACATGTACATAAACCACAGATTACTCATTTGTTCCTTTTCCTTATTACAAATAAGTAGGAAAAAAAACCCTGAGGTATAAATAAGAAACTTTATGTAGAAATATACATACAACAAGCTGAGGGGGGTGGGGGTGGGAAAAGGTTTATAAAATCAAACCACTGACTTACCCCTGATCCCGTCCCCTGATACGGCTGTGAGCCAAGATCTTGTCGTAGTGACCATTGGCATTTGCAGGGTTAACAACCAACAGCAGGAACAGAGAGAATACTGGTAAGAAGGGAATCATCTTTAGTCTCTCCGTTGCAGTTAGTTCACGAAGAGAACTGGCAGTGGGCTTTGGAGAGCTCAGAGCTTATATACATGTCAGAGTTCTGGGAGGGAGCTCTGTATCAACCTGGGAATCTGAACTCTCTCCAAAAGGCATCAGCAACTTCAAGTTGCCAGCTAAAATCCACTTTTGTCAGTTGTGTTTGCTGAGTACACTGAGCCTCTTTTTTCTTCTCATGCTCCAAAAGATATTTATTTTTGTATGATTTATCTTTCTCTTTATTTTACTTCCTGACTCATTTCAGGTTCATATTTCCATCTTATTCGCTTGTAAGTTAGAGGGTTTTTGTGGGAAATGATTTCGTTTAGATGTTAAGGATCATTCTGTCATCCATACCTTTCAGAGTCCCTGTCCCCGTGCTCAATGAGAGCTTGATTGGATCTTATCACATCTTGTCACATTCAGTTCACAGCCAAACTGAAAGGTTATTATTTTTCACCAGTAAGCAAAGGTAGATCTAAGTCTGATAATCACAAGGCAGTAACGACTACTGATTAAAAACAAACCTTGTCCAGATATAAACTTTCAGAGAGTATGAGATTCGAATTTTAACTTGATGATGAAACATACAGGAGGGATCATATTTTCACTAAACTGGGGGGATACCTCCCGTTTCACTTCTCCTTTCAGATGTCAAGGCATAGATAGAGTTAACACACATCCAGTTCTGGCAAGTATCCCTCACTGTTGAAATGAAGCAGCAAAGGAAAACCATGTTTGCTCTGTTGTGTTTTTCCTTACACACAGGGCATGATGTTGACCATCTCTAGTCAGCACATCCATTGGTAACCACAGGGCAAAAGCATGCCCTTTTGGAAACCACTATTACCAATCTAACCTAAAGGGAATAATGCAATATGTGTTAAGAAACAGGGGCATTGCCGGAATTCTGCTGCTTCTGTTTTATCAACAGCAACTAAAGTCTCAATGTTACACAGTGCCTAGCCAAGAGAATATCCACTCTCACCACCCCATATATGATATGGCAAATGTTCAGAATGCTTTGGGTGAAAGAAATCTGAACATCAGAAGTCAACAATTACCTGAAATAACTGCAGTTTCCCCAGATAAATAAGTCACACATTATCCTACAGTAAAAGTGTAATTCAAATACATTCTTGTTGCAAAGTATCCCTCCTATAATGGTCCATCAGAGTCGATTCCCCACTGGCAATGTAGAGAAATCTGAGACTGAATCTGTGTTGCCCAATTGGATGGGCTTTTAGGGGGGACTGGAATGGGCCAGAGAGGATTCCAAGGACCAGGAGAATTATATTAAGCTTGCTATAGGATTTTGTCTTGGGGCACTGAAATAATTCTGCAATGTGCTGCTAGTTTATTAAGAAAGCATACAGTGAAATATTAAATTCTAAAATATGTTTAGAGGCTTCTTTTCAATTTGAAAACCTTGATATTAAGGTATAGAAGATGCAAGAGGAATTCAGAAGGAGAACTGGAAAGAAGATGGTAAGAAGTAAATTATATGCTTTCCCTGGTCCCTCGTGGGAAGGAAAATTAATCTATCACTTATGTTCCTCTGAATGGAATTATTTTAATTTTTATTTTTATGCCACTGGTTTGCTTTATATAGTAGGTTTCTAGTACCCTTATGTTGTACAAATAGTAGGTGATCAGTAATTGCTTATTGAGTAGGATGGAAAGGCTTTTATGAAAATAAGTTCTAATATCAATATATTAGCTATTAGATTATTAATAACATAGTTATATAAAAGTCTTCAATTCTAGACTGGTGAGGCATTATAATGTAGCTTGAGTATCTTAAGATACAATGGTGGAATTTTGGAATTACAGAGAAACAGATCAAACTCAGAATATAGAAACCTCTCCAACATCATCACTGTAAATATTAATAGTTATCACTCTTTACTGAGATTCTCCCTGTGATTAATGCAACCCTTTTAATTTTAGACAGCTGTAACTATTAATAAGCACTTTTGCGATGAAGCTGAAATCTACTCATATCTAGTGGGGTTTGATTGGAGAAGGACTGAGGTATTCAGTGGAGGATATAAACTTGGTTAATATGTATCAAGAGTAAAAGAGTTATTTAAATCTGGTCCAGAATGATAATACATAGACTTATGAAGATAGGCATTAAAGCAAAATTAATAATATTTTGTTGTTACCTACTTTCTTAACAGTGCCTATAAATGGAAAATATATTGATTATTTTCAAGAACAATTTTGAAGTATGTGTTCCTGTGACCACAATTTTGTCCATTGGAATCAATGGCTTCCATTCATCCTGATTCCTTCAGTGGTACAAATGGACAAATAATTGCATGAAAAAAGTTGTGAAAATGGAAAGGCATTAATATTTCAAAAGGTGACTGTTCTCTTCTGAAAAGAGTTAGAGATTTACTTTTTGTAAGAAGTATGATATATGTTCATATTTTAAAAAGAGGGTTCTTAAATCTTTCTTTTCAGAGTTTTAAATAATTAGGTCTTAAATGAAGCCATCCTGAGCACTCTATTTGGAACTTGTAAAAGTCCCATGGATGTCAACACATGCTAGCCCTCAACAAATATTTACATTCAGGATGAGTAATGCCATCAAAGAGGATCTTGAAAATGAGGACCAGATTGTACATCTAAATTACATGTAAATTTAGAGGTTGAAGAACATTCCAAGAGAAGGAACATTTAGGGTAAAAAAAAAGCACTGCAACTTAAAATGCTGAGCTTAGCCCAGAAGTGTGATATTATAAGACATTATATAGTGGAAGGAAGTCCAAGCAACTACTTTAGCCAGCATCCTGGCTTTAAGGAAGCTAATAATGGAACTGTGGTTCATCAGCAACTTGGTGTAGGGCGAGGGAAGGCGATAGTTCCAGAGAATGAGAAGAAAACATTGTCCAAGCTGTAGGGAAAAGATTTTAAAATCTTGAGAGCAACACAATTCTCTCCTTTCAGAGAAGTCACCAAGGGTTAATCTCTTGCTTTCTCTCCACACAGGACCCTTATTCTTCTGTTTCATGAAAGGATCCTGCCCCTATGTTGGCTACATAATTTTCTTAGCAGTCTGGAGGAAAATTGAAACCTTGGCAATTGTCTGACTTTCAGGGTTGCAGAGCCTGACCTGGAAATGTAAGTCATTACAGAAAAAGAAATGATTTATTATGCAAACAAAGAAAAATAATGTGTCTGAAAGAGATGTTTGTTTCTAACTACCAGGATGCTAATTTACTGGCAGTTTGCAAATTATCAGGTGGGTCATTGTAGAGGCCTTGTAGCCTCTGGAGTCTGTGATGTGATTAAAGTATTGTGCTTATTATCACCAGCATGTGAAAAGCGTTAGTCCCTCAGTGGTGTTCTACTACTGGCGACCCCATGGACTGTGGCCTGCGAGACTTCTCCATGTCTATGGCATTCTCCAGGCGAGAGTACGAGAGTGGGTTGCCGTTCCCTTCTCCAGGGAATCTTCCCAACCCAGGGATGGAATGCGGGTCTCCTGCGTTGCAGGTGGATTCTTTACTGTCTGAGACGCCAGGGAAGCCCTATCACCAGCATGTAACCAACATTAAACTTATTCTGCACGCTCTAGGATTGGACATGGCCTACGGATTCAACAAACCTAGATACTCAAGCCAAGAGCAGGTTTTTTAAAAATAGAATATCCTTGGTATTGCATGATCTGGAGTGACCAATAACTGAATCGAATTATCCAATAATTTAAAATCCCGTTTTGTTTTCTTTTTATTTTTGTGTGTGTGGAATCTTGATGTTTCTTGAGTACTACTTTTCTTTCCTGTTGGTTCATTTGTAAAATACCAGTAATAGAACTTACTTGTAAAACACCCTAAAGCTTTGAAGCACCTTAGCTTAAAAGGAAGCTACACTTTCTTGGGGACCCAATTCTCAGCATCCAAGCACCTTCACCAGTGAAGGGTGCAGCCTTTCTTGGTACCTGGGTTTGCAGCCTTGTAAACTGAAGTTCTGGCAAAGACTCCAGAGACGTTACTTCCCTCAAATGAGAGAAAACGTTTTCTTAAAGTGATTAGATTATGCTGAACTCAGCCAACAGTAGAAGGAATTCAAATTAAGCCCAAAATTAGATTTTGCAATTTTTCCCTCATTGAAACATTCACACGGCCAAAATAAAATTGAACATTAATGGCCAACTTAAAAGAGGTCAGAAGGGTGGCATTATGGGCTCAGATATTTGTGGCTAACTCCTTGTAAAGCCTATAAGAAGTGTCACCTCCCCAGCCACCCACCCAGTGTATTCCTTCCAGTGGATTTCTTCCTCTATAGATCTTTGCCCATAGATCTTCAGGCATGCCCTGGCCAAACATATTTAAGATAATGAAATCATATTCCAAGAAAGATATGACTTAACCGGATCCCAAATAAAGCATTAAATGACATCTCTTTAATGTTAATTCATTTAGAAATCGGTTGGCTTTCTGTGTAAATGTGGATAGTGTGCTATCTTTTTTAAAAAATGCACTTAGACCCTCATTTTCTTTAAAAATCTGTCAGTGACAGATTTCACTCCTATACTAAGTAACCAGTGTTTCACTATTTGTCCTTATTTAAGCTCCAAACTTTTGAAATTTTTAAATAGGAGTGTATTAGCAACACTTCTTATTACCAGTATTTACTTGTATTTCTCTGGAGACATCTAGTGGAGAAAGTGCAGTATATGTTTCCAGAGCGCAGATACATTTTGATTAAAATAGTTAATATGAACTTGACATAAAAAATCTTAAATAATGTATGTGCATTTCAGAATGCCAGGCAATTAAAGATTAGCAACGATCTCTTACATAAAATATTTTCAAGCTGATTTAGATCGACTGCAATAAATGATGTCAAATCCAGATAAAAAGTGAAAAATCTGGTCTTGTGTTTGGATGCGTATGTCTGAAGAATGAATCACTTCATTGTTTTAATCCGAGTTTTTGTTGTTGTGCTACACTGACATAGACTAGTGA